ATTCTTAATATCTATAGCAACTTTTCAAAAAGTACATACCAAATCCTAAGCAGTCAAATGTCAAAGAAGCACAAGAAGGTACTTCAGCAGAAAACTCACTGAGCTGACAGAAAATAACATTAGCTACTAAGTTTGGGTTTTGTTTTCAGGTGTTTTGGCTTGGTGAGAAGGGACAGGGCCCCACACTGTGGTCCAGGCTACCACACTATGTAGCCCAGGCTGGCCTCAAACTTACAGCAATCATCTTGACCTACACTCTCCTGTGTAGGATTATACATATGGTCACCACAGCTGACTGAGGTTTTTTTATTACACTCGATAGGTAAATATCAAATACTTTTCTGTTTCCTCAAGCAAATAAAGGTTAATAAAAATCCCATTGTCAGATTTCTCATAAGCATTTAAACTACTACACCATGGCTTTAAAATAAGACAAAAATGCAAATACCTTGTGATACATATACATATGTGTGTATATATATATATATATATACATTAGAGAGATCTCAAATATCTAACATATCAAAAATGCTAGTGTTATAGAATAGAAAATAACCAGGAATAATATGTTAGATATGTATTTCCCTCAAAAACAGATCAAAACAAGTATATGCAAATCATAAAGTCCATGTCTAAGAAAATTTTTCAACATGGAAAATCAGGGGCTAGGAAAATCAGATTCAGTAGACAAACTGCTTCCACGAAAGCATGAAGACATGGGTTAGATTCCAAAAATACATAGAAAAGTGCCACACATGCTAGCATAAACTTCTAATCCCAGCACATGGGAGGCAGAGGCAGGAAGATCCCTGAGACTCACTGGCCGGCCTGTGAGCTGCAGGCCAGTGGCAGACCCCGTCTCGAAGGAGGTAGTTGGTGTCACTAAGCAGATATCCAAGGCTGTCCTCTGGCCTCCATAGGCAAGCACACATGTGCTCAGTGTCCCTGTTAGCTCTAAAAATCTGGCAATAAGCCTTGATTCTATACTTGCCAGAGGATTTTTTAAAAGCATACACATAAAATATTATATAATATCAGAAAATCCATAGCCAGAATCAGCAGACTCTTGCATAGCCATCTTTATCCTAAGTTATATATTCCTCCTTTACAAAAGTCCTTTAAAAGACCCTTCAACTCATAGCTATTTCTTCTTGTAGTTACTCCACTATTTGTAAAGGACATATTTATCTCTTCATTTGGGCTTGGAAGCTTTGTTGTGGGTTTTTTTCAGTGATTATATATTAATATGTAATTATACCCATATATTACATGTATATATCATGTGATACATATATATCATTATATATATGTATATGTCATACTCCTGGTAGCCTAACTCCTCAGGAGTTCTCATTTGGATTAATAAGAACTAAGATCTGGGGCTGGCCACAGATGGCTCAGAGGTTAAAGGAGCCTGCAGAGCAAGCCTGATGGACTGGAATTCATGTAAAGGTGGAAAGTGAGAATCAACCCCGCAAAAATTACCCTGTCTTTCACACATGTACTGGAGCAGTAAGGCATTCTCTCTTGCTCTCTCTGTCTCACTCTCAAATAAACAAATAAATTTTGATAAATAAACTTTCTTATTGGGCTAGGGAGACAGTTTGGTCAGCAACACACTTGCTGCTCAAGATTGAGGAACTGAGTTTGTTCTCTAAGCAACCAAGTAAAAAGATCAGGACAGCAGCAGCCTGCCTGCCTGCAATCCCAGCCTGCCTGCCTGCCTGCAATCCCAGCCTGCCTGCCTGCCTGCAATCCCAGCCTGCCTGCCTGCAATCCCAGCCTGGGAAGGAAGAGAAGGTAGAGACCGCAAAGTCCTCAGGATTGCTGGTTCAGTAAGATCCTGTCTCAAAAAATAAGGTGGAGAGATACTGAGGAAAACACATAACATTGAACATTGTCCTCTGGCTTCCAAAATATGGAGACAGAGACAGAGACAGAGACAGAGACAGAGAGAGAGAGAGAGAGAGAGAGAGAGAGAGAGAGAGGGAGGGAGGGAGGGAGGGAGGGAGGGAGGGAGGGAGGGAGGGAGGGAGGGAGGGAGAGGGAGACTTAAATAAAAACAAAAATAAAATCCCACTTTACATCCAGAAACTTCAAGAACTGTAACGGGGAAAGTATGGTCCATAAGTTAACAATCTTACACTGAAGTGTAAATCCACTACTCCCAGAAGCTGAGTATGTCCTTAAAAAGTCTCTCTACAGCCTCATCTGTCTTCCTCCTGTGTAGTCTAAGTGCAAAGTACTCACTGAAAGTGTTTACTCTACACAGCTTTAATATGGCACACCTGAAAGCACATGTCAATCATAACACTGTAGAAAGATCTGCTTCTGTTACTGTTTATCCACAACATCCATAAATGAAATCCTTGGGGTCTGGTCACTCCTGAGCACTGTTCCTCTATATAGGCCATTAACACTCCTGAGCACTGTTCCTCTATATAGGCCATTAACTAGTGCTAGCAAGTCAATGGGACCAAAGATGAAGTAGCTATAAACTGTGCTTCAAAACTAGAGTCCAAGGGTCCACCTTGAATGGGCCTGTGGACTACCACAGAGACAACTGCACACAGAGTGGAGATCACGTTTCCAAGCAGAGATAGGAGAGGGTCATTCTGTAAGATTTTCACAGAGGAAGGATATTCCTCACCAAATTCTCCTTTTAAAAGTAACCCAAGAGGACTGAGGGTGTCACACCATAATAAAATGCTTGCCTAGCAGCCTGAGGCACGGATTCAACGCATGGTAGTGAAAGAAAACACTAACACGGGCTCACAATTTCACTCCCAGTGTCTTCTACTTAGCCCCACTGAGGCACATATTTTTTAACATTTTTGGTTTGCAGTCATTGTCTATTAGTGTCCTACTACAGAAAGAACTTTGCAGAAAAAGTTCTGAACTAAACCTGGGAGGTAAAGAACTGTCCAGCAGTGATCACTCTGACTGAAAAACCAGAACACCCTCATCATTTCTAGTCTCCGAAGGCCTACATTTAAGGGGAACACCCCACAGTGCCTCTTATTGGGAGCAAGAAAAAGCTAGCTGGGTAGCTGAGTCTAAATTATTAGACCACTCTCAACTATTCTAAACCCACTTCATAAGTGCCTACTTCCCTTGCCCTTCCTCCCACGTAATTTAATCATATCCCTAAAACTATAAGACAAATGAGAAATGGGACCTCAGCCTTAAAACTCTTAGCAGTGTCATGAGAAAGAATTCATTGGTGCTCAAAGAAACCAGTCTTTAATTATCTGAAAAGTAAAGCCAATCTGTCTGCCATATTGGACTGAATCTCTCAATTTCTGTCCCAAGAAAACCACCGATGTTCTCCAAATGGGGACATTGGCTGGGGCCCATAGAGTCCAGACAGCTTCAGAAATGTCTTATCTGGTGCCAGGTACACTCGTGAGCTGCAGGTCAGGCAGGTACATGAAGGAGGGGGAATTTTCACCTTGTTAATCAACAGGATAAAGGTGATTACGCAGGAATTATTTTTCATTGACCTACATAGTTTCATCAGAGCTGCTATGGCTATTAGCTGAAAGCAGCTGACTTCCTAATGAGGTGAACTTGATAGCAGGGCCAGAGTGGCCCAACCTAAAGGAAGCACAATTGGTCTGCTGTATTTCCCACCCGTCCTCCTTCTGAGAGCTGTTTTTCTTCGGTCTGGAGCGTTTTCCCTATGAGGAGGAACGAAGGGGTAATCCCTGCACCCGGATGTCTAGGGCTGCATCACCTGTGGAGTCGTTGACAGCTGCACCGTCAAGTACAGGAGGCTGAAGCTAACCTGGACTAATAATTGTCCGGACCCACACACAAAGTTCCAAGCAAACATAGCAGCTGTCACCACCAATATCTCATCTACCCAAGCTTGAACTAAAACAATAGCTAGTTTACTACCTCACCCGAGTGGGGTTAACAAGAGAGCTTTGTTGAAGCCAGGGAACCCACATACACTATCAATGAGAATCATAACTCCGGTCCAGTTTCATCAGAGAATTTATGCAATTGAGTAACAGCCGCCCAACAGTGAATTCCTCACAGCAAGAAAGTGCTGCAAACCCAGTGGTACCGCCTCCGATTTCCGTGTATGCCGGGAGGTTTGGAGAGGAAGACAGAGTCAAATCTCATCGCCTTTGCCAGTTACTCCTGGGAGACCCAGGCACTGCGGCCCGAGGGACCGAGAAAAACCTGATGACATCTTCCTCCGTCAAAACAAGCTGGCCCTCTCTTGCTCAGGGTCAGTCATGAGTAACGTCGCGTGCAAGTGCCCGCAGCGTCCTGGGCAGTCACAGAGCTTTAGGCTGGGAAGGTGCCAGCCTTCCTGCCCTCCCTCTCTCAAAAACCTGCTCCTGTCGCCCAGCAGGATGCAGGAAGGAGGCTCTCGGGACACCCTCTTCCTCCTACTCCAACATCCTAAAATAAAATACGAGCAATCCTTCCAGCACAGATCTCTTACCTACCGGCGGCCACGGATCCTCCCGCCACGCGGTGTCCCCTCGACAGTCAGAAAGTTTGTGCGAGGGTCCCAGGGACAACCGAGCCTCCAGAGCGCAGGGCACTAACAGCGGGGCAGCGCCAGCTCCTCCCGGGCCCAACACCCAACACCCGGGCAACTGCCCTCGGGCGTCTGGGCGCGGTGACCTCCAGGCCCGGCTTCAACTCAGCCTGAGGACCCGGGGACCAATGACCAAGCGAGAGAAGGTCAAGGCACAACTTTTCTCCGTCGCGTCAGCCCTTGGCGGAGCCCGACAGGTCTCGGGCTCGTTCCCGCCCCACAGCCCGCACCCTCCGAGGAGCCTGGGCGGGGCGCTGGCAGGGGCAGGGCCCAACCTGCCGGGAGACCCAGGGGAGCTGGCTCAGACCACGCCCCCGGGGCCTCCAGGGCCTCGGGCCACGCCCCCAGCAGGCCCCGCCCCGCCCCGCCCCGTCTCGCCAGGTGCTCCCGGGACTCGGGTTGCGTTGCGCGCTCTTAGGCGCGCACGGGTTTCCTAGGTGAAGGAGGCGGGGCCTCCGAGAGAAAGTTTCCACCGAAACTTGAACTGGGACGCAGTGGAGGACATCTCGTCCTTGGGGGCTCGCCTCCCCGCGAGCTTCACCTCCCGTCCCGCGCCACGCCGGACGAGCAGGCACGCACAGCTGCCTTCTAGGCTCCTGTGAGGAAAGGAAGCCGCACACCGCGACGCGCGGACGTCGTCGGTTTCCCACTTCCAGAAGGTGCCAGTGCGGAGCCTGACACTCCCGCCCCACTCAGGTTCCCTTCTCTTGTTCTCTTTTTGCTCTGATATTTGAACCTTGACACGACAGTCCCACAGTAGACCTGAATCAAAAGATGAACGTGGTCGCCTGTTGGTCTATTAGAAAACCGGCTGGCATGAGCAGGAGGCCATTTGGTCCCAGCAAGGAGGCACGAGTTGCGGTTTTGCAGTTAATTTTCTTAAGGGTAATTTTATCCATACGGACCTTACGTATGGGCTAGAGAATATTGCACAGATGTGTCGCGCGTTCACTGCCAACTGTCCCCGCTGCCACCCCGCCTCCAGTCAAAATAAATAAACAAATAAATTAATTAAAAGAGGGCTGTTTAATGTGGACTGTCCTGTGGCAAGGACGAAAGTTCACAACTCAGAATTCCCCCAGAGGAATCCAGAGGCGGAGGGAGGCGGTGGCTCTTTGGCACTGCATGGTACCTTAAGCTCTTCCAGCGCCCAACCCGGGACGACCTTTGCCTAAGGACTGGGAGCATCATGCCACGCCAGCTCTTCCCTTCAGTCTCCACACCCCTACATGCTTGGACTGCCTAGTTCAGGCTCTGCGGTCTGGACTCTAAATCCCAGAGTTGGAATCTGCATCTCGGTTAGCAGCTCTCTTGGCATTTGCATTGTCCTGTGGTTAGTGTGGCTGACACTTGAAGTGAGCCTTCCTCCCAGCGGATGGGGCTACACCACAGTCAGCAAAAACGGATGTGGAGGTGTTCCACCACAGCATCCTACTGGCAACTCACCAAATCCCACTTCTGAGGAAGTGTCTTCCTTTGTTCTACATGAATGGCATTCGGAGATAACCAAATTCGGGTAGATGTGGTTTTCAAGTTTTCCTTGTACCCATGGCAACTGGATGATGCAAACTTCATGCTTTCTCTCCTACCTGCTCATCACCACCAACACTGTGCCAGAATCACAGGCTTCCATTTTTGTCACTTGTGGTTAAGTGGTGGTGGGACCCCACTCCTTTAATTCCAGGCAGAATTTAAGGCCAGCCTGGTCTACAAAATGAATTCCAGGATAGCCAGGGCTATAAGAAAAACCCTGTCTCAAAAATAAAGCAAAACAAAACAAAAGGAGGAAGAGAAAGAAGGGGTCCTTCAGAATCAGCAGAGGAAGAGCAAGATAGGGGGAGGAGGGAGGAGGAGGAAGAGGAAGAAGAGGAAGGGGAGAAAAAGAAAAGAAGGAAGGAGGAAGAAGATGAAAAGAAGAAAGAAACAAAGAAAGAGAAAGAGAGAGAAAAGAGAAAGAAAGGAAAGAAGGAAGGAAGGAAGGAAAAATAAGCTCTTCAGTATAAACTGAGGAAGGCTAAGATAGTATGAATAGAATTAAGAGAGTAGAGACTAGGGTTTTCTGCACAGCAGGTCAGAGCTTGGAATGTGGGTAGATAATTCCTCTCTACTCAAAAAATCCCTATCGGATACTTTTTGCATGCCAAGCACTCTTTGAGGGGTTGGGGAACAGAAGCATTACAGTCAGCAATCATGAAGCAAGCAATTTCTCAGCTGTGGTGAGCAACGGCAAGGATGTGCTATGCTGCCACAGGGCCATGCTGCCACAGGGCCAAAGCAACAATTGGTAACGAACTGTGAGCCAAAATAAATCTTCCCTCTTTTTAAGTTGATCTAGCTAGGTTTTTGTTACAGTAATAAAAGGCCAAATAACACAATTAGTAACATGCTAACCTTTTAAAATGGACTTTCCCTTTCCCAGTTTTATTCCTGTATACTCTCTTTGGCTGTATTACATATTGGTCTTAAGACACTGAAATTACACTTCTTTAATGAAGAAGCCAGACTGTATTCCTCAATCTTTCTCTTCCCGCTTTTACTCCTATTTGAAAATGCACTTATATAAAGTTGTATCATGTTTTCTAAATTTTTCTGTTTTAAATACCAGGAATCGTAAGTTAAATGTAAAAAGAGAAAGTCATAACACATCCAGACACACTTTCATACATTCTTATTCAAAGAGCTCATTAGCTTATGGACCTAAACGTATCAGTATGAAGAAGTAACAAAGGCCACCCCCTCTGTCTAAGGAACCTAAAGTGTAGCACAGAGAAGCATGGTCTCGACACCCTGAAATCTAAACTAAAGAAGACATGGAAACATTATCCTTCACAGATTAAATGTAAATTTAAATTACCTTCTAGAATTGAGCTCAGCCTATTGGAATAATGATCACCCTGTCAAGAAACTGTTTTCTAACAGCAACAAAAAAGTTGCTTTTGAATGATTTTTATCTCCTTTTTGCAGATGATCAAGTGGCCAGGCACGACTTCACTAGTTGTATAAGGTATGTTTATTCTTAAGCTCTTTTAACATTTACTGACCTTGAACTTTAACGTGACTCACCATAGCCCGGGCTATCTAGTCAAGTTCCAGGCCTTCATCTTCCAACTTTGTGACCCTGGTCAAGGAAATTCAAGTCTTATGTTTCAACTTCCTCTTTGAAAAAAGGTAATGATTACATCTGCATCACTGTATTGTGACTATATATTTTCATTTCCAGCACAGTTCAGACCATATAAGCTGTCAATAAACATTTCCAAGGCAATTTCTAGAAATTTATTAAAAGGAATCATTGTAAATATGTAGGAAATTCTATGTACAAGCTTTAATAGCGGGATTTTATAAGAACTACGTAAACAACTATCCAATAGGAGCTAAGTAAGTTTTGTTCTGAGCAAATGTAGTCTACCAAATACTATACTCTCAAGTTTATGATTTTTAAGTACGTTTAGAATTACAATATAGTTTTGGAAGTTGTTTGAGGTGTTTTCCCTCAGGGACAGAGACCTGGTACATGTATATTCATAAGAAAACAGGAGGCCTTTTGCTAAATTGTATTAGCCTTGGGTGTATATGGTCAGAAAAACATCTCTGAAAAGCTCCAAGCTAACATGTGAACGCCAGTCATCTTGAAATGCCAGTAGTGCAAGACATATTTATTTTCTTTGTTATACTTTTCTTTCTTTTCCCAACCTTCTATAATGAACAATGTATTGCTCTTATAATAAGATAGTTTTATAATGGGGAGGGTCTCTTTCTGTCTCTCTGTCTCTGTCTCTCTGTTTCTGTCTCTCTCTCACTGTGTGTGTCTCTCTCTCTCTCTTCTTGGCTGGCCTGTTACTCACTATGTAGATCATGTTGGCCTTGAAGTCATCTCCTAAATGCTGGGTTCAAAGGTGAGGGCCACCATGCCTGGCATTAATTTTACTTTTAAAATAAATTTTACTGAAGGAATAACAACACTGAGCTATCACCTCATACCGTCAGTGTTAGTGAGCATGTAAGAAGATGGCATTGCTCTGTGGAAAACCATTTGGCAGATCTTCACAATATTAAAAAAATAGAGTACTATATGATCCAGTAATCTCATTCTGGGTGTATAGCCAAAGGGTTTAAAAATAGCATCTCACAGAGATATGAGTACTCCCATATCCATAGCAGCATATTAATAATTATCAACAGGATAAAGCAGTTCCAACATTGCACCTCATCGGTTGTGCCTCCTTCTTTGGGTAGCCTGCCTCCAAACTGAGTCAATGCAAGTAATCAAAGTCTGCCCACCCACTGCAAGAGATATCACGGCTCCAGAGTCCCTTTAGTGCATCAGCTGAAGCCCTTGCAAAGACTGTACTTCCAATCCCGCTTCCTTTAGTCCTCCATACGTCTGGATTCCAAGATCCAGTAAGTTCCATCCCGATGTGAATCTCTGTCTTTGAGTTTGTTTTCCAGGAAACCCAGCCTACAGCATTTATTTAAAAATTTTCTTCCCTGGTGTTCAGTATTTTCTTCTTTTCTTGTATATTTGACATTTATATTTAATATATTCAGAGCCTATCTCATGTAAGAGGAAATAGGAATCTGTTGTACTTTTCTCCTTATTCCCAGTATCAAGTCCTAAATAATTCACCATTACTTGAGTGATGTGTGGCATCCTGCCTCTATACTGAACCCGCATGGATTCACTGGTCTGTTTAACTTTGAACTTTGCTCATTTGGCTTAAAGATTTCAATTGCCTTGTTTTGCTTTCTAAAATTGCCCTGAAATATTTGCCAGATACAATTCAGACTCATTCTATCCGCTTTACTCCAAAAAACTCTCAAATTTTTATTAGAATTATACTGAATTTAGTAGAATTTTATAGGAATTCAACATTTTAAATTTAAATCATCCCACCTGTTAGCATGGTATTTTGCTTCATTATTCGGCTATTTTCGAAGGCCTTTGATAAAAACAGACCTTGGGAGTGGGGTCTGGAAACAAAAGCCCAGGTCCTGAGCATGCTCTGCCAGCACTCAAGCCCTGAGCTGGGTCACCAACTCCCAGGCTCCTTGCTTTCCTAACTGAATGTCTGGATATTGTGTGATTTTTCTTGACATTCAAATGTCATTGCCACTTTTTTGCTCCCCCTCCCTTTTCTTTTTTAGACAAGGTCTTGCTGTGTAGCCTTGGCTAGCCTGGAGTAGAATTCACAGAGAGATTCCTCTGCCTCTGTCTCCAAGGGTTAAAAGTGTCTGCCACCACGCCCAGCCATTTTCTAATATAGAGCAATACAATTTATTTATGCTGACAAGTTATCTGGATGTCCAGGTGAACTCTTTTTAAAATTCTAATTGCTAGTTAGCTTTTAAAAGCATCAACTGATCCCTTTCCCTCCCAGTTTTAAACAATAGTAGATAAGTATATATCTACTTTTTTTTTTTTTTGGCATCCAATCAGTCTTCAAGTATCCTTCCTAGTTTTAAAGATATTGTCTCCATCAGTGAGATTACAGCCACACTGAGCTTTTTAAGTGGATGCGAGGTATCTGAACTCAAGTCCTTGTTCTTATTTGGCAAGCACTTTCCTGACTCAACTGTCTCACCAACATGCAGCAAGCCATTCCTGAAAGAATTAGCCAGCAAACCCACTTCCTTCCAAGGTCAGTGCCCCTGAGATCTAGTTTCCTCCTGTTACTGTTCAGCTCTAAATGGTCCTAATAGTCTCCCACCAAAGACCAGTCCTCCAGCACGTGATTTTATCCAAACCATGGTAGAATGACATTGAAGATATGTGTCTTTTATAATTGAACCTTGGCTCTAGACAGAATAATTAAAATGAAAATAAATAAATGAATAAATAATTCCCCTGGCGCCACAATTGATTTCAAGCCAAGATGAGACTATCTGTGTGGTCCAAAAATACCATAAATATTAGATTATAAAAGTTTTGGGTTGACTTTTGCTTCTAGGGTCCCAACTAGAACCTAGAAAACCATTGAAGAAAGTATTTTTAATTCAGATTTTAAGGAATTGCCACAGACATATAATCTAAGAAAAGTATTGTAATTTCTCTTTTTATTCCTTTTAAATCTTATGTACTTTAGTAATTTTTTATTGATAGATATTTTAAATTTTACCTGTTTTAATTGTTGCCTTCTCTCAAAGAATATAATCTGAGTGATCCTATTTTTTGTAATTTTTTTCAAATTTATTTTATTTGATATGCATTAGAGTTCTGACTGTGAGGATATCAGATCCTCTGGAACTGGAGTCACAGACAATTGTGAGCTGCCATATAGTGCTGGGAATTGGATCCGGGTCCTCTGGAAGAACAGCACAATCCTCTTAACCACTGAGCCATCTCTCCAGCCCATTTTTTGGAAATATTTTGAGGTGTCTTTTGGGACCCACCACATAACTGATTGATACAAATGTTCCCTGAGTACTCTATCAAGTGGTATTTGTTTTCTAGGCAAAGTTAGATACTTTGATAGACAGGAGGCAAAGCTCATTAATCTTCAACTATTTTGCCTACTTATTTCTTATCTGCCTCGTAAAGATATCCAATTATAGTTACCATTTTCTTGATTTTTTTCAAAACTTTAAGACCATTACTCTACATACATTTATGTAGTCCGTGTTTTGAATGTGTATTATTTAAGTCATATCTTTTCATTTCCTGGTAGTGTGCACCTTAGACATTGTTCTATTGCTATGTAGAGACACCATGATCAATGCAACTATTTATTATAAGAGAAAGTATTTAATTGGGGTCTTGCTTACAGTTTCAGAGGTTTAGTCCATTATCATCATGAGAGGGAGCCTGGCAGCATGCAGGCAGGTGCTGGAGCCATATCTGAGAGCTACATCCTGACCTGTAGGCAGAAGGAGAGAGAGACTGGGTCTGGCGTGGTCTTCTGAGACCTCAAAGCCCAACCCCAGTGACACACTTCCTCCAACAAGGCCATACCTCCCTATTATGTGACTCTGGCTGTCACTTGAGCTGTAGACCAGACTCCCAGAGATCCCACTTGGTCTCCTGAGTGCTGGCATTAAAGGTGTGGACAACCACACCCACTTCAGCTATTGCTCCTAAGGACTATGAACACCTACTTTACACCTCCCTTGTAGAGAAGCAGAATCATGCTATAAGAAGTGTCAAATCCAAATAGTTGGTAGCAGACCAGAAGACCAAATACCTAGGAGAGCTGATGTTGAGATAGTCTGACAGAGTCCAGCCTTTTTGATTAGATGATGCCTGCCTACATTAGGGTGATCTTCTCCACCCAGAGCTTGCTAATTTCAGTGTTAATCTCATCCAAAATACACCCTACAGTGGTTAGAAGAGGATTTCAATGAGGAATTGCCTTGATCGTGTTGACTTATGGCCACATCTGTGGGAGATTGTCTTGCTCTTGTTAATTGAAGCAGAGGGACCCACTCATTGTAGACAGAACTATTCTCAGGCTTGGGTCCTGTCCTCTGTACGTATGGAGAGGTACTGAGCTCTGCAATTGACTGTGGGTGTGACTAGCAGCTTCAAGTTCCTGCTACCGTGATTTCCAGTCCCGTGGTGGACTGGAGCCTGGAGCTGTGAGCCAAGTACGCCCTTTCTCTTGTGTTGCTTCTGTCAGGCTATTTTACCACAGCAACAGAAATGAAACTGGAACACTCTCCAAGCTGATTCTTATATCTTGCCAGTTTTAACGTAGGTGTGTGTGTGTGGTGTGTGTGTGAGTGTGTTATGTGTGTGAGTGTGTGTGTGAATGTGTGTGAGGTGTGTGTGTGTGTATGTGTGTGTGAGGTATGTGTGGTGTGTGTGAGGTGTGTGTGGTGTGTGTGTGAGGTGTGTGTGTGTGTATGTGTGTGTGAGGTGTGTATGTGTTACTAGAATTTGAGCCCAGGCCCCACTCATGCTGGACAAGCATTCTACCACCAAGCTATATTCCTAAGATTCTTTTTGATGTTTATTTTGAGACAGCATTTCACTGAGTTGCCCAGACTGGATTTTAACTCACTTTGTAG